ACCGACTCATCAGGAGGCTGAACCCTCAACAGTCTGTAGAATCCCCTCACTGATTACACTGTAAGTGATAATCCACCTTAACCAAATATATATATATATATTGTCACAAGATATTAGAGCGCAAAAGCGAAGAAAAACATAAAGAAAACAAGAAAAATGAAATCATTTTTTTATCTTCTTCCTTAAACTCCCCCTGTTCAGAACCTCTTGCGTACAAGGCCGCCCACGTGGATGTACATATATACAGGGTTGTCAGGCCGAACGTACAGAGGCCCCTAAGCTGACCCCCGAACGTTTGGGCGTTCAGGTCCCCGTACGGGGCCCGAACTTCAAGGGGTTCGGACCCCACAAAAAAATATTTTGACAACTAAATATTATTATTTTTTTCTGAATTTTGTTTGTGAGTTATTTGTGATGTAAGGTATCACCCTCTTAATTTTGAAGCCATTCCGTTCAGCCAAAAAAAAATGCAAAATCGTCAAAAGATGGTGGTGTCAAAACTTGCTTTCCCACTCACTAATTTGTTTTTTCTCTCTTTTCACTTTTTGTTTTTCCTTTATTTCGGGGCATGAAAAACATTATTATTTTTTCAAACTTTATTTGTAGATTCTCTATAATGTAAGATACACATATATTGTGACGATATATAAACTTTCATGGCATTTGTCACAGCCAAAAAAAAATGAAAAATCGCCAAAGACGGCAGTGTCAAAAACGTGCTCACCCACTCAATAATTTCATTATCATTTTATTTTATTTTTAATTTTCATCATTATTATTTATTTTTAGCATTTGATTTTTATTTCAAATTTGGTGAAGAATTTGGATGTAACGTTGAGGCAAATGTTGTTTAGTTTATTCTTCTGCATAACAATTTTTTTCAGATTTTTTGGGTTTTTTTTTTTTTTTTTTTTTGGGCCCGCGTTCGGCCGAATGCGTCGAGAGGGGGCGCCAAACATTCGGGCGTTCGGCCCGTCCCGACCGTTGGTAACCCTGTATATATATATCGTCACAAACCTGTATATATATATCGTCACAAACAGAACTGCCCGGTAAACCGTAGGCAGAGAGAGAGAAGTGGACAACAAACGAGGGGCTGTGACAAATTGTTTCGTCGGAGTTTCACCGACTCATCAGGAGGCTGATATATATCGTCACAAACAGAACTGCCCGGTAAACCGTAGGCAGAGAGAGAAGAGGAGAACAAACGAGGGGTTGTGACAAACTGTTTCGTCAGAGTTTCATATATGTACATATACTGTTGAGGGTTCAGCCTCCTGATGAGTCGGTGAAACTCCGACGAAACAGTTTATCACAGCCCCTCGTTTGTTGTCCTCTTCTCTCTCTGCCTACGGTTTACCGGGAAGTTCTGTTTGTGACGATATATTATATATATATATATATATCGTCACAAACAGTATATATATATAGGGTTACCTGACCCAAAGTTCGGGGGCCCCCGGGCTCGCCCCCAAACGTTCGGGCGTTCGGGGTCCCGTTCGGGGGGAGGTGTAGGTTCGGCCCCCGCCAAAAAAAAATTTGGGGCCTAAAAATAAGTTTTTTTTTCTGCATTGTTTTTTTGTGAGTTCTCTATGATGTAACCTACACGCCTACAAATTTTGAAGCCATTCTGCTAAGCCAAAAAAACATTAAAAATCTTCAAAGATGGGGGTGTCAAAACGTGCTCGCCCACTCA